ATTCTTAATCGGACCCCAAGGGAGCACCCTGTGTGGATGATGGTGGCTGGATGCCAAATGAAGTGAAATATCTCCTTTTCTCAGGCTGTTAACTTTTTTTCTTGTTTAAGGAAAGGGAGGATAATGCCATTTAGCACTTTACAACTCAGCAGTAAAATGAGCAGATGGAAACAGATCCCTGGCATTGCAGGCATGCTTCCAGCGAGAAACGCTCCCCAGCTTCCCCAGCTCCTGGGGCTGAAGTCACACCCTGGGCTTGCTGATGGGGTTAGAAGCACAGCGGCTCCCTTCTCCCCCCTGCTCCAGTCTGCATGCACCCTGGCTGCACACCTGCCCTTACTTCCCCCCTCCTTGCCTCTGCTCACTCTGATCCACCTACCTGGAGCACCTTTCCTACCTCCCAGGTCTGGTTGCAATGCAACCCCCTAATTTTTAGATGAGGAGAAAAGGAAGGGGATGTTCTTGGTAAGAGGGTGGCCCCAGAAGGACAATTTGCCTGAACAGGGAAGGCTCCCACAGGGAGGTCATAAAATAATCAATGTCATTATCATTACCATCACAGCTATTTACTGAGAATTGCCATGGCGAGTCACTGTGTGCGTGTTTCACACATCTTACCCCATTTAATCCTCAAAGCCCATGAGTTTATGCATCAATGTCATTCCCATTTTACAGATGAGGAAACTGAGTCTTGAACAGATTAAGTAACTTTTCCGAGGTCCCTTCACACTGTATTGAATCACAGGCAGGTCTTTAGTACTATTGAATGGCTAGTTAACTATTTGGGGTTTAGATTACTTTCTCTTCTATTGCATCTGTTGCTCTATAAACTGAGCACATAAAATTTGGATGGATTTTTCATGTCTATGTTTCCAAACCAGTCAATAGCTCTGCAGTGAGACTCATTCTATTGTGGCATGTAAATTGTTTCATTAAACTGCAGCTCCTCTGTGAATTTTATTTGTCACCCACAAAATAAAACAAACAAAAGAACTCCTACTGTGGTGGAGATCTATTGTTTCATCTGCCCAGTGCCCCTCCCTGCTGGGAGTAGCAGCCCCTACTTGGGCTACTCATTGTTCCTCCCCTATGAGTGGTGGTGGAGGTTGCCAATCATAATACCCCACCCCCCAACCTCAAGGGCACCCATGTGACCCAAGTTGAGCCAATCAAAATCCTTCCCAGAGAGTTTTCCAACTAGGCACAAGGGAAAGAAAATTCTTGCTGCCTCTCTGCTGACACTGCTATTAGTCACTGTCCCAGTTAGAACTAGGCTTAGCCATCACAAAGACCTGACAAACAGTGTCTTAAACAAGATGGAGGTTTATCCTGCAAGGCCAGCCCATATCCCCTCTGCCCTGACCCACCAGATACCTGCCCTTCATCCTGCCACAAGCAACTGCCACTCTCAACCTGAGGGCTCCCTCTTGGCCCCAACTCATGGCAGACTAGGTAGGCGATGACCCTGGGAGCAGGCTTCGACCAACAGTGAATGGATATTGGAGGATAAATGCCCCAGACTCCTAAGCCCTGGGAGTAGGACAATTCTGAAGCAGTTGTGCACTGTCTTCCAGAGGTTTCCAGAGAAACATGCTCATTATCACACCCTGTATTCATTTCCCTCCCTTCCTTGTCTTACTTTCCTACTCCCCTACCAGTGCTTCTGGGATCACTACTAAATGCACTGCTTGACCTTGAATCCTTCACTCAGGGTCTGCTTCTGGCGAAGCAGCTTTACTGCACACTGTGATATTAATAGTTAATTTCATGTGTCAACATAGCTAGCTGGACCACTGCTATGGCTTGAATGATATAGGTTCCCTCCAAAATTCACATGGTAGAACTTAAACCCCAAGGTGATGGTATTAAGAGGTGGGGCCTTTGGGGAAGTGATTAGGTCATGAGGTCTCTGCCCTGAGGAATGGATTAGTGCCCTGATAAAAGAGGCTTCAGAGAGCTGCCTGGCCTTTTTGCCCTTCCACCTCTTCTGCCTTGTGAGGACACAGCATTTTCATCCCTTTTTGTCTCCTTCCACCATAGAAGGATGCAGCAGGAAGGTTCCATCTTGGAAGCAGAGAGCAGCCTTCACCAGCCAACAAATGCTGGTGACTTGATCTTGGACTTCTCAGCCTCCAGAACTATAAGAAATAAATTTCACTTTTTTATAAATTACCCAGTCTCAGGTATTTTGTTATAGCAGCACAGACTAAGAAAGCCACCCACAGCGCCCAGACACGTGGTTAAACATTATTCTGGATGTTTCTGTCACTTCAAGTAAAACAGATTGCCCTCTCTGATGTGGGTGGGTGGGCCTCATCCAAACAGGTGAAGGCCTGAATAGAACAAAGACTGACCTCCCTTGAGCACGAGGGAATTTGAACTTGAACTGCAACATTGGTTCTTCCCTGGGTCTCCAGACTGCTGGCCCACTCTGAAAATTTGGGGCTTGCCAGCCTCCATAATCAAATGAGCCTATTGCTTAAAATAAATCTTTCTCTCTATTTATACACATACATCCGATTGGTTCTGTTTCTCGGGGGAACTCTAATATAGACATACTTGAAGTCCTCCCTCATCCCAAAATGAAGAATCCACCACCTCAATACTCCCACAGCACTTTCCTTACCTCTAATACAATACATCACAGCCTATCTTGTCATATTTATTAAATGTATAATAGGAAGGAATATGTATTTATTGAGTATAGCTGTGTACCAAGCACTGTACCAGGTATCTGTGCTCATTCATTTGTTTATTCACAATTAATTCATTCAGTAAATATTTGTTGAATGTTTATGATGTGCCAAGCAATGATCTAGGCCAGGAGTTGGCAAACTATGGTCTCCAGGCCACATTCCAACCACTGCCTGGCGGTTCTGAGGTAGGGGGATCACTTGAGTCCAGGAGTTCAAGGCTGCAGTAAGCTATGATCATGCCACTCCAGCCTGGGTGACAGAGCAAGACCCTGTCTCTAAAAAACTAAATTAAATTAAAAAACAACAAACAAAAAAGCAAAACCCTTTGCTGAGCCCCAACACTGGGCCAGGCCCTCTGTTCAAGGCTAAGGATATACAAAAAAGCAAGACCTGTGCCTGCCCTCAAGGGGATCCTAGCCTGGCCAGTGGCCAGTGGCAACTACTAAGTGCCTGGCGTGTCCCCAGGGTTGTGGGGCACCAAGGCAAATGGGGAGTCCTTTTCTTTCTTTTTGATAACAAACTAATAAATAAGTGAATCGATGAATTTTTTCTGTGTGGAGTTTTTTGAAGGAGGATCGTGGGGCTTTAACCATGAATGAGCTCTGTACATCAAGTCATCCAACAAATCACTGATCAATTGATTGATTGACATGTCACGCAGGAAGTTGCTAGCAGTGACAGGCCTAGATTCTGGGTCTCTCCTACGGTGGGCTTCCTCAGTGTGGAGCAAATCTACTCTGCCTGTGGCCATCTTGACCAAGCTTTGCAACAGCTCCCGGCTGCAGAGCCTCCTGCAAACTCACAGTAAAATGCAGCATTCTTGGCCTGCCTCCCAAGGGGGTCGTGAGCATTAATTAGTTACCACTGGTAAAGTGCTCTGAAGATGTGGGGGTGTATAAACACAGCAAGTCATTAGGCCTCTCCACACCACTATGCTGTATAGCCTGGGGACTGCTAATTGAGAAATAATTAACACCTCAGGGTGCAAAGGACAGCTGCCTGGCTTTCCCAGGATTGGATGGGATGTAATAACGTGCACAGGGAACAGGGAGAAATACAAGACTACTTTCGATATGTGGATCCTGAGAAATTCTGAAGATTATTTTTTTCCTTGCTCCCAAAGAGGGGGAGTGGGGAATATCACCCCAGTAAAACCTCTGGAACTGGACTCCTTGGGGAAGTCTCCTACCACACTGCCGGGCTGTAGAGGCCAAATAAGGCTCTTGAGACAAAAAAGCTCAGGTCCACCCCAGCTCTTCCCAGCTTCCCAGCTCCAGGTGGTTGGGGAGATGCAGTCCTGGTAAACCTCATCAGATCATCTGATTGATGGATCCTGTCTTTATTTAAAATTGTGATGTTTTGTTCAACATGGATTTTTGCATTAATTTTGTTTTTTAAAAATTAATTGCATTAAAATACCATTTATCTTGATTACTGAGTTCTTTCTTCCCACCACCCCACTTAAATTTCACCGTATTGGTTTATTGACTGTTTCCTCTTTTTAGAATGTAACCTACACTGAATGCAGGGAATTTTGTCTGTTTTTTTCACTGCACTATCCCTAGTGTCTACAACAGTGACTCCTACGTAGTACCTGCTCAAAAATTTTGTGAATGAAAGTTTGAATTCGTGTCTTTACAACTATCTTGGGCATTGTAATAAAGGTGCCTTTCTCCAACTATTTCACAAATTTTAAAGTTATTTACATTGAAAGCCTGTAAAACCATAGGATGGAGTAGAAACTACAGTGCCCTGTGTGTTGTCATGGTTACACGGTCGCCAGCTTTCCTCCTGGTCGGGAGAGTGGGCGGGGCCTGGCAGTGGTGGGAACACTAGGCTCAAATCCTAGTAGGTTGGCTTTGATCATAGAGTTATACCTCCCTAATTCCTAGAGAGCACTTCCGGAATAGTGATTTACTCATTGCTGCCCAGGCCAATCTATGATCTTGAGGAAAGCCGGGTTCTCGCTCTTGGGCTAAACTTCCGGAAAACCTCTCCGGCTCGCCTAAAGCGGGGTGGGGCCAGAGCGCCCGCCCCGGCCCCGGGAGCGCGGCTTTGCGATTGGCGAGAAGGACAGGAGGCGGGGCTTGGCGCAGGCGCGCTGGCCCAGCGTGGCGGTCTTGAAGTGTCGTTGGCTGGGACTGCACTTGGTGAGCGTGGGTGACGGCGAGGCCTGAGGGGCGGGCGGGGGCGGCGCAGTGAAGCTACAACCCAGTTCTGGGCGCGCATACTTAGGACCCTGGTGTCCATTTTCCCACGTGCGTCCTGTCCTTGCATTGGGGCGGGCTCACGGTCACAAACTATTGGATACTGCCGGTCTCCTATTCTCAGGTTGCGCCGCTGTAAAACGAGGGCGGAACTTCCTAGTCTACTTCGGGTCGCCTGAGGCGCGTGTTCCTAGAAGTGCCAGCCCTGTAGAGGCCCTCGGGATGACCTGCTGGCCGGACCGGCCTTCCCTTTTTACGTACGGGAAAACGGAGGCCCCGAGAGCGGAGCGATTGGACCAGGGTCACCCAGCCAGTGAAGACTGAGCCAATTCTCAAAACTAGGTCTGGGGCTCCATTGCAAACCAAATGGGATTTGGAGGCAGGGACCCTGCCTTCCAGGTGTGACCCTACGCTCATTTGCTGGGTCACTTGACACAAGCGACTTCACATTTCAGAGCTTCCCTCTTCTATGAGTTGGGCATAGTAATAATGACATACACTTCATGGCACTTACTGTGTACCAGATACTGTTGTAAACGCTTTATATACGGTTTTCCTGATTGGATTTGAGGGCAGTTGTGAGTCAAAAAGGCCTGGCGGACGCGGTGGCTCAGGCCTGTAATCCTAGCACTCTGGGAGGCCAGGCGGATTGCTGAGGTCAGGAGTTCAAAATCAGCCTGAGCAAGAGTGAGACCCGTCTCTACTATAAATAGAAAGTAATTAATTGGCCAACTAATATATATAGAAAAAGTTAGCGGGGCATGGTGGCTTATGCCTGTAGTCCCAGCTACTCGGGAGGCTGAGGCAGAAGGATCTCTTGAGCCCAGGAGTTTGAGGTTGCTGTGAGCTAGGCTGACGCCACGCACTCACTCTAGCCTGGACAAAAAAGTGAGACTCTTGTCTCAAAAGAAAAAATAATAATAAATAAAGGCCTGGGCTGGAGGGGCTGACAGCATCCCCATAGAGTGGATACTCATAATGTCTGTTGAGTGAGTGAATGACTCAGACTGCCAGAGTCTGAAATGCTACACATGTTAGTTACTATATTGCTTTTAAGGTATTGTCTGTGGATAACTTTGAAAATTTGAGATAATTTTAATTCTTCTTTTGTAAGCTGAGGGGTCGGAGGACAGAGGCACACGTAGGTGGGGAGGGCTTAAAGCTCTTATTTAAATTATCTAGATAATTATATCATTGCACTCATTTACTTTGCTCTTTATTAATGTAATTTTGTCAACAAACAACAATAGTCTAAACATTAGGCATTGTACTAGACCTTGAAATCTAAAAATGTAGAAAACCTCATAAACTCAGTTTAATGGAGGAATAGGACATGAAACATCATTCACTCCCAGTGTCTGGCACACAACACTTTATCAAAAACATTTTTGTAACTGATTCCAGTACAGCGTACTATAAAGTGATACGTGCAGTGGAGCCCAGAGAAGGAGGTGACTTTTCTCTCTTAGGAGGGGTTGGAGATACCTTGGAATAAGTGAACCTTCAATGATGAGTTAGAGTTGTTGGGGGTTGGGAGAGGTTAGCCTGTTTGTGGAATGATAAGCAGTTTGGGGCTTATAAGCAGTTAGAGGTGTGGTAGGATAAGAAGTTGCAAAAGGTGTGTTGGGGTCAAAATATGAAGAGCTTTGGAGCCATTCTGTGAAAATTATGATGGGGAGCCAGCTGTTAATGGATTGTAAGCAGGGGAGTGATTGGGTCTGCTATCATTTTAGTTGTAATATGGAGACTGGACTGCCAGGAGTCAAGAATCATTGAGTTCACTCATTGATAGAACATATATTGGGTGTTCACTGTGTCCAGGCACTGTGCTGATGCAGATACAACTTGGAACAAAGTAGATGTAGCCATTGCCCTCATGGTGTTTAGGAGCTAGGTCAGCACAGGTGCATAGCTAGGCTTCTGGCTTCTGCATGGGTTTTCCCCTGTGTGGTCCCTGGACCAGCAGCAGCACCATCACCTGAGAACTTGTTAGAAATACAAGTTCTTTGCCCAAACCCCAGACTTACTGCAATCAGAGTTAACAAGGCCCCCGGTGATTCTGATGCTCTATTAAATTTCAGAACCACTGGGCTACCGTAATGTAGCAAGTGGTATTGAAGGGCTAACCCAAGATTGAGGTAGTAATGGCCAGAAAGTTGTGGATGGAATTGAGAGAAATCTTGGAGACAGACTCATTTCCTTTAAGAGGAGTCAAGGGTGAAGGAGTTTCTGGCTTGGGCTGCTGGCCTAAGGTCAAACCACAAGTGAGTGATGCAACCAGGGGTGAATCCACACATGCCTTGCCTCCATGAAGCCACACTAGAGCTCTGTGGCAGTGCCTCCCAACCTTTCAGTATTTGTACAGTGCACAGGGGAAATGGATGAGGCTGCTCAACGTTGGAGGGGACCAGCTGGGGCATCCCAGCTCCTCAGAGCTGAGAGGAATCAGTCACCCACTCTCAGCATACTGCTGGGGAGCCCCACTCTATAGATTGTGCTGAAAAGTAGAGGTGCTCTCTGAAATTGACAGTATAAGTCAAGAGCCTTAAAAGAGATTATATCCTTTGACTCAATAATTCCATTTCTAAAAATCTCTCCCAAATATATGCCAAAAAAAAAAAAGATTCTGTTAATCGTAAATTATGTATAAGAAAAAAACTGACAATGCTAGTGGTAGGAGAATCATTTTTTATGTAGTCAAACAATGGGAGGTTGTACTGCCATTAGAAATGTGTGACTATTTTGTAAAGTCATAGGGAAGTGTACTTGCCTGTGGGCAGTGTCTAGTGAACCCCTGCCATGTGTGAGGATACAGTGATGAGCAAGCTAAGGGTTGAGTGTCAGGGGGGAAATAGGCACCAAATGAGCAGTAACCCCAGAGGGACTGGTGTTTGATAGGGAATGAGTGAGTCGTGCAGGAGAGCCAGTCTTTTGGGGTTTTGGGAGTGGGACAAGGAAGGCTTCCTAGAGGACAGGATAGTAACCCTGAGGTTCAAAGGATGAGCAGACTCATCCTTTGTACTCAAAGGGGAGAGAGGTGTTCTATGCAGAGGGGACGATGTGTTTAAGAGCAAGCGTGGCACCGCTGGATCTGGGAGAGTGAAGAGGGTGGTGGTGAGACAGGCCTGAGGGGGCCAACTGTGCATGCCCTGAAGGTCAGAAGCTTAGACCTTATTCTAAGGGCAGCAGGAGGCTGTTTAAGCAAGAAAAAGCTCTTTCCATCTGTGCATTGGAAGGCTCCCCTGTGGCTGGAGCATGGAGAATGGATTGGTGGAGGACAGGAATGGAAGTGGGAGACCAGTGAAGAGGCTGTTGCAATAGCCCAGATGAGAGAGGATGGTGGCCTGGACCTGGGTGGAGGATGTGGAGAGAAGAAGGACAAATTGGACAGCAAGTGAAGAGGTGGGAATGACAGGGCCAAGAGGGCTGGTGACTGTGGAGCATAGAGAGGACAAAGTAGATGAACCCGAGTTTCTGGTTTGGGCACAGGGCAGCTTGTGGTCCATTCAGAGTGGCAGGCAGTGCTGAGGGGAATGGGTTTGGGGGAAGATGCTGAGTTCATTCTGGAGCGTGGAGTTGAAGTACCTGTGTGGTGTGCTCTCCAGGCCACTGGGTGTGTAGGTGTGATGCTCAGGAGACGAGACACCTATGGAGTAGAGGTGTTGACTCAAGGTCCTCAGCATTGGTGTACAAAGGACAGGGCTTACAAAGAGACAGGGGATGGAAACATAATGTCAGCAGCATTTGGGCCAAGTGATTATAATTGATTCTCTTTTTGAGCTCATAGTATGTGCCAGCTACTATTCTAAGAACTTTTCATTACTCTTCTAAATTCCCAAATAAACCTACATGGTAGGTCCTGTTATTCTCATTTCATGATGAAGAAACTGAGCACTGAGGGGCTAAAGCCCATGTCCCTGGCTACATAGGGTGCAGCCAGTCGGAAGCCCCGCTGGAATCCAGGCTGCCTGAGTCCAGAGCCTGCGCAATCCCTACACAGTGGTGTAGTGATCTCCGCAGTGTGTTGTTTTATGTTTTTATAATCAGGAAAATATTGATTTCTTTAAAAACAGAAGTAAGAAGTAAAAGAAGTAGTGCTTTGATCTGCTAGGATATTACAAATGGAATGATTGGTGTCTGCAAAATCAGTAACTATCTTAGAAGTTTGTTGGAGACTGTGCTGGCTACTTCATGGCATCAGCATACGCTCATTGCCGCACACCCTTTTTTCTCCAGGTGCAAGTGCTTCCCTGTGCCAGGGTATCATGGAAGGGCTGCTGACCAGATGCAGAGCATTGCCCACCCTGGCCACTTGCAGCTGCCAACTCTCTGGGTATGTCCCTCGTAGGCTCCACCACTGTGCCCCAGGGAGAAGGCAGCGCTTGGTGCTATCACGTGTGTTCCAGCCACAGAACCTTCGGGAAGACCAGGTGCTCTCCCTGGAGGGCAAAGCTAGCGACCTGACCTGTAAGAGCCAGCGGCTGATGCTACAGGTGGGCCTGATCCACCCCGCAGGTCCTGGCTGTTACCACCTCCTGCCTTACACCGTCCGTGCCATGGAGAAGCTCGTGCGGGTAATAGACCAGGAGATGCAGGCCATTGGGGGGCAGAAAGTCAACATGCCCAGCCTCAGCCCGGCAGAGCTCTGGCGAGCCACCAACCGCTGGGACTTGATGGGCAAGGAGCTGCTAAGACTTAGAGATAGACATGGCAAGGAATACTGCTTAGGACCAACTCATGAGGAAGTTATTACAGCCCTGGTCGCCTCCCAGAAGACACTCTCCTACAAGCAGCTTCCGTTCCTACTTTACCAAGTGACGAGGAAGTTTCGGGATGAGCCCAGGCCCCGCTTTGGCCTTCTCCGTGGCCGAGAGTTTTACATGAAGGATATGTACACCTTCGACTCCTCCCCAGAGGCCGCCCGGCAGACCTACGGCCTGGTGTGTGACGCCTACTGCAACCTGTTTGACAGGCTGGGGCTGCAGTTTATCAAGGTCCAGGCAGATGTGGGCAGTATCGGGGGCACAATGTCTCATGAGTTCCAGCTCCCAGTGGATGTTGGAGAAGACCGGCTTGCCATCTGTCCCAGATGCAGCTTCTCGGCCAACATAGAGACACTGGACTTGTCACAAAGAAACTGCCCTGCTTGCCAGGGCCCACTGACTGAAACCAAAGGCATTGAGGTTGGGCACACATTTTACCTGGGTACCAAGTACTCTTCCATTTTCAATGCCCAGTTCACCAACATCCAGGGCAAACCATCCCTGGCTGAAATGGGGTGCTATGGCTTGGGTGTGACACGGATCTTGGCTGCTGCCATTGAAGTCCTCTCTACAGAAGACTGCATCCGCTGGCCCCGCCTCTTGGCCCCTTACCAAGTCTGCCTCATCCCCCCTAAGAAAGGTAGTAAGGAGGAGGCAGCTGCTGAGCTCACAGGGCACCTGTACGACCACGTCACGGAGGTGGTGCCTCAGCTTTGTGGGGAGGTGCTGCTGGATGACAGGACGCATCTGACCATTGGAAACAGACTGAAAGATGCCAACAAGTTTGGCTACCCCTTTGTGATCATCGCTGGCAAGAGGGCCCTGGAGGACCCTGCACATTTTGAGGTTCGGTGTCAGAACACCGGTGAGGTGGTCTTCCTCACAAAAGAAGGCGTCGTGGAATTACTGACCCAAGTGCAGACCGTCTAAATGCCCCCAGGCCACTCGCACCCCATCTCACAGCCTTGCTGTCATTCTAACATGCACTTTCCTCCACTCCTTTCCTGGGCGCCTCTCTCCAGAAACAGGGCAGCTCATGGGAGGTGAGACCATGTTGGAGAAACCAACTCTCACCCAGTCATTTGTTCAAATGATTTGTATTTAAAGTCATTAACTTGATCCCTTTCCCTGGATTATCATGCCTCCATACACTATTCCTTCTGTATTCCTTTGTGGAAGCTTCTATTAGCTGGCTGAGAGGCAAGAAAGAGTGCCAAGTTCTAGTCTTGGTCCTTAGGTGATTGCTTCCCTTCTCTCAGCTGAGCCTCCATGTGTAGGCTGGGAACTCCCGACAGTCTGACCATGGTCTCTTGCTGCATTTGGTCCAGAGAACAAGCCCACCAGCCCCGCTCCACTGAGCAGCTGGGCCGAGAGTGTGGGGAAAAGAATCAGGTGAGCTGACTGCCACCAACTCACTGGTGACTTGGACACTTCCCTTCCCCTGCTGGGACCTCAGTTTCCCCATCTGTGATATGAGAAAATGGAACTAGGCCTGTAAAGTCCGTGTTGGTGACACTGCATTGTTCCATGCGAGGTTCATGACAGGCAGATCTGGTTCCTCTGATCCTTCAGACTCTTAAGTTTCCGGGAAAATCAATGTAATTGGCTGATGACCCAAAACTTCCTCCAGAGACCTGGCCCTATTGAGGTGGCTTAAGCACTGAGATCATGTTCTATTGATTGAATAAAGTTTAACTTTTGGAATGAACCTCACTTGTTCATTTGAAACAATGATAACATCTGCCATTTTAACAGTACGACAGCTTCTTATACCTTTTCTTTCTACTGATTCCATACTCAAAAAAAAAAAATGATTGCTTGCAAAAATGTGGTTTAAACCATTTCTTCCTACAATATCAGAAGCAGCAGCCTTCAACCACCATGGTGACTTTGTCCTAGGTGCAGGGTTGGATCCTAGAACCACAATAGGGGATGACTATTAAGAGCTGGTCTCTGCCTGAATTCTGTGGAAAACTGGGAGCCGACTTGAGCTACCACAGCAGTGCCACCTACTTTCATTGTTCCTGCACTGTACATTAGGAACATAACCAGGTTATCCATCCTTGGCCCCTACAGTGTCTATATGTCCACGTCTGACAAAAATCTGTCAAGACCAAGCTCAAAGCTACCACCTCCTAAAAACTTGCCTGACAGCTCCTAGACTTGATTTTTCTTCTGCCTTCCACAGCACTGATCGTGTCCTTCTTGTTCTGCACTTACCCAGCTCATTGTACAGTGGTCCAGCCTCTTGTGCCAGGGGCCTGAGCCGATTTCTAGTGCACTGCAGTTCTTGTCTTGGCGGGTGGTTCTGCCTGCTAAACAGCCTCCTGGCAGCTTGTAACTGTGACTGCTGTTAGGCCGGAGTAACCCCACTCCCAAGCACAGGTCGTCTGGTTTCCTAATGAAGGTTTCCTAATGCTGAGCTCTAACGCCTGCCCTATCATTGCAGCTCTGGCCAGGCCCAGGATTCTTCTGGAATACTTTAGATTTGCAGGCCAGGAGATGAGAATTCTGAGAACAAACCTAGAAAGGCTAGATTACAAGGCAGGGATCTTACCTTTCCTGCACCCTAGAATCACCTGGGCCCCACCCAGAGGGTCTGGTTACAGTGTGGGCTGTGGCCTGGGCAGTGGGAAGTTGAAAACTCCCCAGCTGGTTCCAGTGTGCAGTCAGAGTCGACTGAGCCCATGGTGTAAGGGCCACCTCCTCTGGGCCCACTTTCTAATTGGGCATTTCTTTGAGTTATTTCAGTCGTGCATTATCAGACTCATGCGGTCACTCTGCTTTTCAGGGTCTGGTCATTTGTTTGTTGAGGGCGTGCCACTGTGCTGTGAGGTACTTTTATATACTGTTTCCAGGCCTTATAATTGTGCAGGGTGGGTTCTATTATTCTCATTTTACAGATGAGGAAACCTGAGGCTCTGTTTAAGCGACTTACTGAGGGATGCATGGCTGTTAATGATCATAGCTAGAATCTGGGCAGTGGCCAAAAACTATGCCATTCCCACTACACTGCTTAGCCTCTGCCTAGGCAAAAGTGATTTCAATAAATAAAACTTTTATTTATTTATTTATTTATTTATTTATTTATTTATTTATTTATTTATGAGACAGAGTCTCATTCTGTTGCCCAGGCTAGAGTGCCATAGTGTCAGCCTAGCTCACAGCAACTTCAAACTCCTGGTCTCAAGCAGTCCTTCTGCCTCAGCCTCCCGAGTAGCTGGGACTACAGGCATGCGCCACCATGCCCGGCTAATTTTTTCTATATATATTAGTTGGCCAATTAATTTCTTTCTATTTTTAGTAGAGATGGGGGTCTCACTCTTGCTCAGGCTGGTTTCGAACTCTTGACCTTGAACAGTCCACCCACCTCAGCCTCTCAGAGTGCTAGGATTACAGGTGTGAGCCACCACTCCCGGCCAAAATTATTATTGTTTATATCTATCCAATCAAGTTAGCCTAAAGTATGTTAGAAATTAGAATTCATGCAAATGGATACTTTACATAATTTTTAAACTTTAAATTTGTGCTCCATAAGTTTGCTTATTTATGGAAGACTTGCCTAACATAAGCACTTTTAAAAACCAGATCCAGAGATAGCCAATTAATTTTAAACTCTTCATACATGTGTGAGTCCTAGAATGATTTGAGGATGATGTAGAAGCCTGGAACTTTAGCATGGAGAACTTGGAGCTAGCCTTTCCAGCCCTTGGTTCACAGATGAGAAGCAGGTCTGGTGCAGGAATGAATGCCACATGGCATCTGACTAGCAAAATGCATGAGGATAGGACAGGCACCACATCCCCGCTGGTTGATCCTGTTGAAGAGAAGACTGGCTAGGTCCACCTATGAGCCATAAAGCCTCCTTGGTTTGCTGAAACAGGGACCATGCTCTTTATTTTACAATAGGAAGACAAGCACAGGAAACAGTTGTCCAGGTCAGGCTGAATGAAACCTAGGTGTCCTTGATTGCTGTGCCAGTGTGTCTTCCAATAGCCAGGGGCAGTGTGATTTGGTGGAAAGATCAGAGCCTTGAAGAGACATAATGCTAGATTCCCAATGTAGTGGGAATATGTCACCTCATTCAAACTACTTATCCTCTGTAGGTCTCAGATCTTCGTTGATAAGACACTCATTTGGCCAATGGTATCCACCTTGTAGGGTGGTTTGGGGGTTGACAGAAATGCTTGTATGAAATGCTTAATCTTTAGTCTGCACTCGAGAAACATTTCCCTTACACCAAGCGACTTAGGAAAATCCCCCCACTGGGAGCTCAGGTTCTGCTGCTAACTTTGTTATCTCAAGACCTGGATCTTGTTTTCTTGATATGATGCTTTACAACTTTCCTGGGGGATGCCGTGAGCAAGAATTAGGTAACGCCTGCAGAATGGTTTCATCTCCTTAGAGGAAAGACAAGTATTCAAACTGTGTACCTTACTCTCTCATTTCTGAACTGCCAATTTTACCTCTTGCCACAAATTGATGAAATGGGGATGCTGGCAAAATAGCAGGTACAGGCTGTATTATCATTGCTCATTCCTTGGGGAGATCTAGAAGCAACTGACTGGGAAATATTTAGCAGAATTAATACTTGGAGACAAAGGCTGGTGCATAACAAAACCATCGTGCAAATCAAGCTTAGAATGTAAATCAAGGGCTCCATTAATATTCTGTGTTTTAATGGAAGAAACACCTGCTGGGCTATCAATAAAGGAGCTTTGCAGAAAGCTGTTGAAATTGTCATTTCCTTAACTATTTGAGTACCAGGTCTCTTCAGAGTTCCCACAGTGCATTTCTTTGCCAAGATGCCAGAATGCTTTTTAGAATGGATTATTATGCATCCAAGGGCAAGTGAGGCTTTGTTCTATAGTTAGGAAAAGGATGGAGCATGGTGGCTCCCACCTGTAATCCTAGCACTTTGGGAGGCTGAGGCAGAAGCATTGCTTGAGCCCAGGAGTTGGATGTTGCAGTGAGTTGTGATGATGCTACTGCACTCTAGCCTGAGCAACAGAGCCAGACCGTCTCAAAATATATAGAGAGAGTTAGGAAAAGTGTTTTTAAGTTTTCTTATAGGCCAAGCGCGGTGGCTCACGCCTGTAATCTTAGCACTCTGGGAAGCTGAGGCAGGCGGATTGCTCGAAGTCAGGAGTTCGAAACCAGCCTGAGCAAGAGCGAGACCCTGTCTCTACTATAAATAGAAAGAAATTAATTGGCCAACTAATATATATAGAAAAAATTAGCCAAGCATGGTAGCGCATGTCTCACTCTTGCTCAGGCTAGTTTTGAACTCCTGACCTTGAGCAATCCGCCCGCCTTGGCCTCCCAGAGTGCTAGGATTACAGGCGTGAGCCACTGCGCCCGGCCAAAAAGTTTTCTTATAATGTGGAAAATGGGAAAATATTTTTATGATGTTATTGCAAACATAAGTAGCATTTGAAAAAATTTAAGTATTTCACTTAATTTAAAATAATGACTTACATCATAGTGACTCAGACTAGAGCCTCTGAAGTCAGACTGCCTGGGACACTTACTAGCTGTGTGACCCTGTGCAAGACACTTCCTCAGAGTCTCTGCACTTCAGCTTCCTTATCTGTGAAGTGGGGACAACAGTGCCTGGCTCGTAGCAGGTGTTTGGTAAGTGGCAGCTGCCCTTACATTAAGGGATACTTTGCACAAGGTAGGAGGGTGGGTGGTGCACTATGGGCCAGCAGAATGGGGTGGCACCTGCAGGCTTCCCACATTCATTTCAGGCACCATGCTGCTGCAGGGATGGTGTCCATTCCTGTCAAGCCAGCAACTCAAGGCTGCTCATGAGCTCCCATGGTTAAAGCTTAATTGCCCTTAGCTAATTAAAACTGTGTAGGGCCAGGAGAGTGGGAAGCCACTTGCCAGTTCATGGTAACTGAGGATGCACCTTTGCCAGGGCAGAACTTGCTGCTGAGGGTCCCCGAGAAAGCATGTATGTTGACAGGAGCCCCACTGGCAGGGTGTTGAGTGCTGTGGGGATTTGGCTGCGGGTTCTGGCAGGAGTCTCTGCAGACAGTGGATTCCTTTACCCAGGCGTTCAGGTTGGGAACATTGCATGACACCATGAGTGCTATTAGCTTCATGTGAGCAAGGCAAGGGCAGCTGGGTCTGTTGCAAGTTACTTAACCTCTCCGTGCCACTTTTCCTATAAGTAATATGATGCTAAAAAACACCTGCCTCCTAGAGGTGTTGGGAGGAGTGAGCCCAGCCACACAAAGCACCTAGAATGCTGCCTGGCTTAGCCTAAGTGCTCAGGAGGGGACAGCTGTTGTGACTGAGCCAGGCTAGCATTCCGTAGCACTACCCCTGGAATGTGCCCTTCCGGGCTCCTTCCCTTTGCTTAAAGACCCTCCCACCCTATCCCACCCCCAATTCCTTCTTCAACTTCATAGCTCAAGTCTATCCTATGTGGTGGTTTCCACCCTGATCTGTTCAGAATTAATCAATCCTCCCTCTATACCATCAGCCAGTAGTAATTTGCTGTGTACCTACTATGTGCTGAGCAGATGCAGTTCAAAGCCCTGGCAGTACAAAAATGCAGGGTTCCTGGCCCTGACTCAGTTTACAGGGAAGTAGGGGAACCATCAAGTAAACAGACAATTACAATACAGTGTGGTGAGAGCAGTGATGGCACAGGGCACATGGGGACATGTGGGTTAAGAAGCCAGGGAGAGCTTCCTG